GGGGATCCCTCTCTCCTGGCCCTGTAGTTAAATCTGAATAACAGCTGCAGAAAAGGAAAACAGAGGGGAAGAGCTGAGTCCCTCTGTGAGGACAGGGGGGTGTGTTTGGGGTGTTCAAGCCCACAGAGGAGGATGCTGTTGGTGAATCGTGGTCTTTGTGGAGCTGGCACCTCTCCTGTCCTCCTGGCTGATCCCCTGGGGATAAGAAATCCAGGGTGAAGAAGTGAATATCGATCCTGGTGCTGTCCATCGCTGTTATTATGTATTTGTGGGTATTATTATTATTGGTGGTGGTGTTAATGAGAGGGGAGAGCTGGGGCAGCTCATACCTGGCTGCAGAGCAGGATGGGGAGCACCAGCGATGTCCCCTGAGGATGTTGGTGGCTCTGGGGGGAGTTTGGGTTGTCTGGGAAAAGGGATTTTTTTTTTTCTATGGAGAAAGATAATTTTTTTTTTTTATGGAGAAAAGGAATTATTTTTTTCCTATGGAAAAGGGAATTTTTTTTTTTTCATGTGGAGTAAGGGTATTTTTTTTTTCTATGGAAAAAGGGAATTTTTTTCCTTTCCTCACACTGGTGAGCTGAGGTGAGCTCTGCTGCTGGTGGACCCCAGGGCCTCGCTCTTGTGCTGTTGGGAGCTGGGTGCAAAGCCAGAAGTGGTTTGTGCCGTGACGTGGGGACCTGTCCCACAGCAAAGTGTCACCAGTGGGCCCAGGTGGGAGCATCATCACCCTGGGGAGCCACCAGCCCTGTCTGGTGGCACGTGCTGGAGCTGGGTGATGTGGCAGAGGGGACGTGGTGGCTCCGTCATGGGGGCAGAGCTGCTGCAGCACCTCGGAGGGGTTTCCTGGAGGATTTCTCCTTCCAGCGGGGTTTCTCGCCGTGTCTGAGCACGTCCCCTTTCCTTCCCCAGTGCCTGGTGGCATCGCCTCCGAGTCCCTCACCTTCACCCCGCTGGAGGACATGATATTTCTGAAGTGGGAGGAACCGGTGGAGCCCAACGGCCTCATCACACAGTACGAGGTACATCCCAGCCAGTTGGGGGACCGGTGGGGACATGGGAGGGTCCCTTGGGGTGGGGGGTTGATGCAGTGAGGGGGGGGAACTGGGGCAACCACCACTTTTGGTGAAGGGGAGTAAGGGTGGCTGTGGTGTTCCTGCTGCCCCTGAGCCCTTTGGAGCATGGATCCAACCTGCGTTCAGTGTCTGGTCCTGCTGGAGGGTCCTGCTATCTTTTTTGGGGTCACTGGTGTTACCCAGAGAGGGTTTTTCCGATGAACCTCTGCTTTGGATATGTCCTGACAGTCAACCACCTTGCAGGCTGCCCCTATGACCATCCCTCCCTCTGGATCCATCCCTCCCTCTGGATCCATCCCTCCCTCTGGATCCATCCCTCCCTCTGGATCCATCCTTCCTTCTGAACCCATCCCTTCCCCCGAACCCATCCATTCTGGATCCATCCCTTTAACCCCTTCTCCACCCAGATCTGGGGTCTCTCCCCTCTCCCATGGCTGTTGGTGATGCTCTCCCCTGTCCCTGCAGATCAGCTACCAGAGCATTGAATCTTCTGACCCGGCGGTCAATGTCCCTGGCCCGCGACGCACCGTCTCCAAACTACGCAACGAGACCTACCACGTCTTCTCCAACCTCCACCCTGGCACCACCTACCTCTTCTCAGTCCGGGCCCGCACTGGTAAAGGTTTTGGCCAGACAGCACTCACCGAGATCACCACCAACATCTCCGGTAGGTCCCCCCAGGCTCCGTGCCTGGAGTTAAGTGCTGGCAGTGCTGGAGCCCCCGGTGCGCTCCCGTGGATTTTAGTGACTGGCTGCTACTGACGGATGCTCTTGGTGGTGGCAGCCATGCTGTGAGTCCCTGGGAAGCCCCCCAGACCCATCAGCTGGAGGGTCTCTGACTGGGGAGTCCAGTCAGCCCATTGCACTGGTGCTGTCTGAGCTATCAGCGTACAATTGAGGGATTAATTAAGCTTCGTTAGTTAACCTCGTGGTACTTGGGGCTGTTTGCTTGTGTCTGTGGTGTTGTTATTAGTGATGAGCCCCAAAGGGGGCACTGGGATGGTGAAGCGGTGTGAGCTGGACCCCAGTGGCTGCTAGGGGTGGCCTGGGGACCCTGAGGCTGTGTTGGGTGTGAGGAGGGGTCCCCCACCTTGGTCTGGGGGTGCTGCTGGGCTGGCTTAGGTGTGCTTCTGCCCTGGGGTGGGATGTTCCTGCTGTGTTGGTGGTTTGGAGCTGTGCTGTCCCTTGGCACGTCGGCTGCACCTCAAGGCTGGGTCCTGCTGAGGTCAGATCCTGCTCCCATCTCCTCCCCTCTGCCAGGTTGGCACTGATAAGCCCCCTTGGCGCACACTCGTGGATCTTCTCCCAACTGTGATGTTTGCTCAAGACCTAGAAGGGTTTTCTTTTTTTCTTTATTTGTAATCCTCCTCATTACACCATTCGGTGATGCCTTGCTATGGGCAAAGCTGCTTGTGCCTCAGTTTCCCCTCTTGAGCAGGAGGGCAGACCCAAGTGCATCCCTGGGGACCAGGACTCATCCCTGCTCGCTCTCCCCTGTTCCCTTTGCAGCTCCCACCTTTGACTACGGGGACATGCCATCGCCGCTGAGCGAGTCGGAGAGCACCATCACCGTGCTGCTGCGGCCGGCGCAGGGTAGGGGGGCTCCCATCAGGTAGGTTGGGGCTGTGTTGGGGGATGAGACCACTCCAAACGGGGTGACACGATGGGGTGGAGCCCTAAGGGAAGGGTAAAACCACCCTTTGCATGAAGCTAACCTGTACCTGGCCCTCACCAGCACCTACCAGGTCATTGTAGAAGAAGACCGGCCCAAGAAGCTCAAGCGGGAGCTGGGTGGGCAGGATTGCTTCCCGGTGCCACTCACCTTCGATGACGCCGTGTCCCGTGGCTCTGTACACTACTTTGGTGCTGAGCTGCCCGCCAGCCGCCTAAGCCAAACCCTTCACTGTGGGGGACAACCAGACCTACAGCGGCTACTGGAACCCACCGCTGGAGCCCAAGAAGGCGTATCTCATCTACTTCCAAGCCATGAGCAACCTCAAAGGGGTGAGTAGCTGTGGGACCCTGCTCCAGCTGGTGGGATGTCTGGGGTCCTGGTGGGACCAGGCAGGTCCCCACCTGGGGTCTGGGGTGGGGGAGGCAGGAAAAAATGGGATTTGTTTTAGATCCTTTTCCTTTGGGGTTCACCCCCAGTGTCCTGCTTGGTGGGAGGTGGTGTTCTGGGCCACCCTTAAGGCATGTTGGGATCAGGGATGGGTGTCCCCCTTCCTCCCAGCACCCCTGGGCTCTCCCTGTCCCCCTCCCGGTGTCAGTGCTGGGGGTGATGGAGCCCAGCCTCTGCCACCCACTGTGATACCAGCTGGGACCCCAACCAGCACCAGTATGGGGAAGACCACCTTCCTGGAGCTAATCCTGGGGTATGAAAGGACCATTTGGGCAGCAAGAGCTGTGTGCACCTTACTGGGACCAGCTGCTGACACGGCAGCCTCTGCAGAGAGCTCCTGGGATGCTGCTGAGCTCCCACTCCAGCAGCAGCCCCCGCGTCCCCTGGGCTGATTGCCTCCAAGTCACCAGTGAGACCACCTGAGGACCCTTCTGGGCTTTACCTGGCAGCTCTGTCCCACCCAGGGGAGGATGAGCTGTGAAAGCCAAGCAGCAGGACCGCAGCAGCATCTTCATCCTGCACGGCTCTATCTTATGGAAGGACACCGGTGATTGAATCCGTTCCTGCGCTCCGGGATGGTTCACACCTTGCTGGGTTGTAATTAGAGCTGAGATGGACCAGGAGGATCTCGACTCTGGCTCACTCGGGCACTGCTGGATAATAACTGGTGGCTGATGCTGGTTTATAGCCTTCCTGCTGGGAGACAATGGATTTGTCCTGGCTGCTGTCAGCTGTTGTGAAAAAGCTGGATCCCAGTTTGGAGTTTTTTATGGTTTTTGTGCTAGATGGAGCAAGAAGCAGGAGAAGCGAGAGCTGGTGACCTTGGGGAGAGTGGTGCTGGAGCCAACCCTGCTCCGGGCACTCTGCGTGGGCAGGTCTCAGTCCGAGGGTGGATGGAGCAATGTTGCCAGCACGAGTGACCCGAGGTGCTGGAGGATGCTTGGGGAAGAAGGCAGTCCTGCCAACATGGGGTTTTTTGTTTTGCAACAGAAGTTGGATACATGGAAAGATGGAATATTTTAGCTGAAACCATCCCAAAAAATGCAAATGCAAAAAAACTGTTGGAGACCTGAGCTGGAAACTCTCACAGCAACCGTGGCAGCGTGTGCAGAGCACTGGGAACGGGGCTTGAAAACTTGGATTGATGGAAAAAAAACCCCAGGAAGCTCTGAACGATGACCTGGCAGTGTTGTAGCTGCAGTCAGTGACGTGCTGGTGACCTGCTGGGTCCCTCCTTTGATGATCCTGAGCTTTGCTGTCCCCTCTACACCAGGAGCGGTGGCTTTGGCTAAACCTGGGGATGCTGGTTTAGGGGACGTTGGGGACAGATCGTTCAGCAGCATCTCTTGGTGTCTGTGTCCCCAGGAGCTCCTTTGGCTCTGCAGTGGGTGCTGCAGCACGAATCACCTACAAACTCCCTTGATTTGGGGGGTCAAAGCACCAACGGACCAGCTTTGTGTCCACCCAGCTGTCTCGGAGCAGGGAGCAGAGCCGCCAGGATGCTCATCCGACACTGATCCTCCTTTTTTTCTCCCTTCCCATAGGAAACCCGGCTGAACTGCGTCCGGATCGCCCGCAAAGGTGAGTCCTTCTCTTTCCCAGCCACCACCATCCCACCACAGACCCAAACCTACAGCTGCTCCCATGGTCAGGGTCCTGCCAGTGGTTTGTGACCATCCCACGTTCTCTCGTTTCCCATTTTCTTTGGTGTCTGGGTTTTTCCCTCGGTTGAGTTTCTCCTCTTGATGCCGTTATCACGGTGGGAGGCTGGAGTCGGTGGTGCTGGATGCTGACAGAATCCAGAGGTGGACAAGCTTATGTTGGGCATGACAAAAGGTGGCACAAAGGGACCATCTCAACCCCATGGGAACTGAGAGAGGGACTCGCCCACAGTCACGGTGTGGCAATGCAGAGCCTCGTTAATGTCTTGGTGGAATAAAACGTGTTCAAGGAGCAACGTGTATCCCACAGGATAAATCCCAGTGTTTTCCTGTCTGATGTTGCCAACCTCCCTGGAGCTGAGTGTTGACCCTTCCTGCCTGTCCTTGTCCCCTGGCAGCTGCCTGCAAAGAGAGCAAACGTCCCTTGGAGGTGTCACAGCACTCGGAGGAGATGGGCCTGATCCTGGGGATCTGTGCCGGGGGGCTCATCGTTTTGATTATCCTCCTGGGAGCCATCATCGTCGTCATTCGGAAAGGGTAAGGAGTCCCAGCATCGTCACTGGTGCCTCCATCCATCCCTTCCTCCCAACTCACCCCTTCGTCACCACCCCAGTGCTAACTGGGAGTTACTGGTGGTGATACTACCATGCTGGGCAGACTCCACACCATCTCTGGAGCTGTGGCTCCATGCATTTGTGTGTCCCACTGAGTATGGTGCCCTCCTTGTTCTGTGACACTGGGCATGGCAGGAGGCGCTGGGGACACTGGGGACCAAAGAGTGATGTCTCAGGGATGTCCCTTTGCCTTCTGCACCTTTGTTCATCATCCCTCTCCCTCATAATTATCAGTCTTTACCCTTTTTTTCTGCTCCTTGGCTTTGTGCTGCTCCATCAATTCTGCATCCATGGAAATGTTTCTGGCCAGGATCAGGCTCGGAGGGGCTGGTGGGCTGGTGCTGAGCCTGGCTGTCCCTGTCCCACTGGCTAACTGCTGCCAGGTGACCTTGGGGTGTGCAGCCCTACACCACTCCAGCCCCAAATTACAAAAATCAGCTTCATCTGCACTGAGATCTTGTCTCTGGGCTTCCCGCTGCCTTGGCCAGCCCAGGGCTGGATCCATCCGTGCCAGTGTTGCTGGCTGGGTTCTGGCCGTGCCGGTGGCTGCCGTAGGGCTGGATTGGGGATGGAGCAACGTACGGATCCCTCACATGGAGCTGGAGCTGGGGAGGAGGGGAAGGCATTGCCCCTTTCTGCTCTCACCCCTCCACTGTGCCCCCAAGATGCTGGATGGGCACCCAGTGCTGGGGGCAGCAGAGTCCCCGGGGTGGGGTGACAGACAGCCCTCGGTTCTGGGGTCAGTCAGAAAAATAACCCCCCATCCGTGGCTCTCCCTTGGGAAGTGATGTGGTGTGTCCTCCCAAAATACCCAGGCACACGCTGGCTCTTATCCTGGACTCCAGTTCCTCGAGAGCACTGGGAGGAGCAGCATCTCCCCTTCCTCCAGGGCTGGGCAGGGGGTGCCTGTGGCTGCCCCCCAGCCAGGGAGCGGGTGCTGGTTCTGTCCTGCATCCCCCTGGCCATGTTTGAGTGGGGAACCACTGAGCGAAGCGTGAGCAATCCCTGGCCGGGAGCCTTTGGCTGCCTCATTAAATGAGTCATTAAAATTTGGGTGCACACTGGAGGGGAGGTTTTCCCAGTACTAATGGTCCCTGGGGACCCCCAAACTGCTCTCCCACCCCCATGGGGGTCCCCACGCCCCCCAGCTCACTGTGTAGCTGAGTGTGGATGTGACCGTGGCTGTCTCAGTGGGCTTTTGCTTGGGAAGCTCGGTGGGGTGGGAGGGAACAGGACGAGGGCTTTTGGGGACACACATCCCCGGGGGAT